TAAAACAAGTTTCTTTTTATACTGTTATTCCATATAATTAACACAATTTATATCTAACATGAATGTTTATCTTCAGCACATCTTATATTATGGCCATAGCCAGCTGAGCATATGGAAAACTAGTTCATTTGGGTCCCAAATAGTTTTGGTGTGCTTTGGTGAAAAAGAGAAAATTGTATCAAACAGGAAATAACGTGAAGTAAAAACAGAGTTTACTCTGTATTAGGAACATGAAACCTGGTTTCTAGTTCTCGACAATCCAACTAGATCACCGAAGACATCACTGTCATTTAACCCCTTAGGATATTATGAATCTTACCTGTAAAACTCGGGGGAGAGACTGCTTTTGGACTAGGTGATTTCTCAAGCTGCTGAAACTTTTTTCATCAAATTTTTCAATGGTTTAAATTTGATATCCATAGTACACTAGATTATAGTGAAGGTTTGTTCCATTTATTAACCTTACTCATTGTGAAAATAAAAAAACTCCATTAGAAAATAATTCAAACAAAGAAAATGGAAAAAAAGTGTATTAAATGACAAAATAGGCAAATTTTCTTTTACCCATGAGGAAACTGAGGGACTACAATATTCCTCTTCTATAAAGTGAGAAGGCCAAATGGTATAGAGGGAAATTGTGAATCAGGAGATCACAGTTCTAGTCCTAATCCTATCTCTTTTTAATCTTATACAAATCTCAAAATCTGTGATCACATCTTCTATAAAATGACATTTATTGGCTCTACAGGGATCTGTGTGAGAATCAGAAGACACAATATACTTAAAGGCATTTTGAAAAGTTCTGCAAATGTAAGAATTATCTCTAAGATGTTGTTCACAATTCATAGTTTTAAACTAACTGGTTCCTGAAAAGTTATTTTTTAACCATGAAAAAAATGAATATAGAACATGTCACATAATTATATAACAAACATCCATGTACCCTCTACCTAGAATTAAATGTAAATGGCTTGATCAATACATCAAGTTGTATACCATAAATGTGTATAATTGTTTGCCAATTATATCTCAATAAAGCTGGAAAAAATATGATTTGTTACATTTATACCAGATTTTTAAAGATATAAAACATTGCAATTACAGATAAAATTTTCTTGAATGCTTTCTGACCCATTCCATACTAGCCCTAATGAATTTTGTATCATTCCAGTCCATATTTTTATACTTTACTATAAAATGTATATCTATAAATAATGTATTGACTTATTTTTTAAAGTAACATTCATTATAAAATTCATATTTATTCATTCTGAAAATTAATTAACTTTTGTTCTTATAATCTAACCAGATTGATACCTATAGCTCTAGTTTGTGTCGAATAGTAATCCATCTATGAATACATCATAATTTATCCACTAAAAAGTGTTCACTGGGCTATAAAATAAAATTATAGGAAAATGTTTATATACAGAAAGGACCTTGGAGATCACCTAGTACAGGGTTCTTAAGCTGTCATTCATAGACCCTCTTCCATTAATGAGCTTTAGGTCTAAGAAATTTGAGTGTCTGGGGGAATGAGCATTTTCTGCAGAAAAGGCCAAATCTTTGACCATATTCTGAAAGATACATGCGCTAAATACAGTAGTTACTTGTCCTAATAGAGTTGAGAATCTGTGGTCTACTTCTTCTCTCATTTGGCATATATGAGGTCCAGAGAGGTTAAGTAATTTTCACAAAATCAGTGTAAATTACTTTTCCAGAACAACACATTGCTGTAGTTTTGTGCTTGCTTGTTTGCAGATTTCTTATACAATATATTATGAGTTTAAGTTCCTTTTAACTTTTAGTCTATAAAGTACAATTCTGTCTTTTTATTATTTTTTATATCTTTTAATTATTACCCACTGCTGGTGAGGTGGTACAACTGGTACATTCCTATGTACAGCTGGTGGCATTGTAAATTGGAATAGTCTTTTGAGAAATAATCTGAGATGATGAAGTGCCAATAATATATACATAGCCATTTGGCTCAATCAATTTTATATTGAGAAGAAATTTCTAAAATCGGACAAAGCCACATGCAAAAAATGTTCATCAAAATATTACTTGTAATAGTGGAAATTATCCACAAATAGGATAATGGATACAGTCTGTCTACTCCATTGAATACTATGTAGGCAATTAAAATTAAGGTTTTATAAAACGTTAAGCAATACCACAACAATGTTAAGTGAAAAAAGGGATACAATATCAACTTATGATTACAACTTTGTAAAAAACCTGCACAGGAGAAGAAAATGAAGTAAATACAACAAATGATAACTGGTCATTTTTTTTTTTTTCTTTTCTTGATGCAAAATCTTAGCTAATGTAGTTATGGTCATAATTTTTAAAAAGTAAACAAAAACAATACTATCATTGGACCCAAATGCAATGAATTTTAATAAGTATATTTCCCACAGATTCATCATCTTAAAAATATTCAGAGATAAAGACTTCCCTTTTGTAATACAATTTCACAAGCACTGAAATGCTGTCTTCAGAATTATGGTAAGATTACCAATTACCATTTGTTGATTACACTCACAAATCAGCTGGCCAAATAACTATTTCCATGCACAAAGCTGGACTTTGATTTCTTAATTGTCTTGAAGTGAACACAACTGGCTTCTGCATTTACCTGACAAAAATCATCATTTTGTAGTCACATTATATATGAAATCTGGAAGATATTTTTCAGAATGCAGGGTTTTCTTTCTAGTGATCTGATGTTTAAATTCATTATTTCACCTTAAACATTTTCTCGGTGAAGGTTCAGCTTTTTTATTTCATCATGTTATTATTCTGACATTTCTTTTGAGTAGAGCTATCAAATTAAAACAAGCATGTGTTCATCTAAAATAATTTCCAGTTTCTACACACACACACACACACAAATATTTTTGTTTCCTTCCTGGTTAATAAACTTACAGTAACATACATATATATGTGTATGTATGTATGTATGTATATATTCAAGCTTGCAAGAGTGCTAAACCAGCAGGGGGCGAAATACAATAGGAATAAATTTGACAAGCCGTATAGATTTTTCTCGCTTTAGTGACTGAACAATAACCAAAAATCCAGCAGGGCCCCAAAGCAATTGGTGCTCCGATTTAAGAGGATGTCGTCTACGCCTATCTGACAGCGAATGAGTTGTAGAGACAAGCGCGGGTCTCTCTCAGCGCTCCAAGTCAATTTGTCTAGAACATTACAGAGGCGGGATAAACCATGATGAACTGCTTTTGTCCCTGTCTTCCCCGATTTGTGTAATTCCTCCACTCCAAGGGGTGGACACTTTTCGATGGCTGAAGCGAGTGTTTTTCATCTTCGTTTCTCTGCGTAGCTGTTGAACTTCGCTGTTTTGGAAATATTTTAAATTATTCAGATTACCGTTGCAGGCTTGGCAAATGCGACAGAAAGAGCACCCCCGAGCAGGGCTCACGGTGTGCAGGGTAGGACCCCGGCTCATCGTCCCGGACGACGCCAATACTCCTAGCAGCCCTGCAGCCTGGTTTTCACGGCGCCCGTGTTCAGACCGCTCGTGATAAACG